AATTTCACATTCTGAAGAGTTATCTCCCGTTGTCGACATTACATTCAGTTATAGGCACAGATCCTGGAATTTTTTCCCAGAATTTCCTGAGGAGCAAAAAAAAAAAAAAAAAAAAAACAAACGAACAAACAAACAAAATAAAAACAATGATGGTGGGGTCCATGTTTTTAAAGGGGGAGGGCATCCAAAGTCATTTTTTATTTGCTTCTGTAAATCAGTATATAGTCCTATTTTAATAACTCTGCAAATTCCAGGGGGGGGGGGGTTCCAATCTCCCTAGCCGCTCCCTGTCCCTGAAATGACAAATGATCATGTGACTCCTAAATAGTAGAAAACTTTTCCATTTGACTATACATATTTTTGTTTCTTGTGTTATTATGTTATGTATATCTAATGGTTTAAGGTTATGAACCCCTGGAGGTCATCCCCACTCTCTTAATGAACTGGAAATGTTCATAATGTGACTACATCAAATTAAATAAAAGTGCATCAATGATAAGATTACTTGACATTTCATTCATGAATTTGGGTCAACCCATGTATCCTCCTAGAATTAGGAATGAAAATCATTCAAAGAGATGGACCATTAAACTATCTGTATATATTCAGATTTTTTTTTATGTCAAACCAAAGTATTAGACTAGTTTGCATACATGAACAAACAGGGGTCTGGGAAGGGGCAAGGGGAAGGAGTTATCTCTTTACGTCTTAATTGTTGAAAACTCCTAAAATGAATGTTAACCTCAAATCCGACTTGTACGTCTTCATTATTTTTAAGTGGTGGTGTCTCTGTATGAGTGAAAAATTTCCAAGAGGGACATTTAACAACAAACAAACATTAATGACTTAAAAAACACAATATACATGTACATGTTTATTAGTCAACGGATATACTTCTGATCATATCTCTAGTTCTCCCTTGAATCAGAAATGATGATATAAATATTTTAAGAATGATTAAGAGTTGAAAAGGTTGTACATTTTAAAATTCACTAAGCTCTGTGGTTGAATTAGCTATACCAGTTTAGCTTATTTTGCTACTCAAAGCACCTTGATTAACTATTTTTAATCATACTGTTTTCTGAAATGTGAAGTTTTTTCAACATGGATACAAGTCATACCTTTTCAGCTTCTGAAAACAATGCATGAAAAAAAAAAAAAAACTGCTTTTCAAATACTGTAACTCTTTCCAAGTACTTGTGATCATCAGTTTTTAGCTCACTTGAGTTTTTCTGGTTTTCTGATCACATTTTGTTTGTCATCCATCTGTCCGCCTGTAAACTTTTCACATTTTTGTTTCTTCACTAGAACCGCTGGGCCAATTTCAAGAACCACTGACACAATAAATTTAACCTTGGTCATAGCTTCTGAATAATAAGAGATAGGGCTTTCATATTTCACATGTACATTACCTACAAGAACTTTCTAAACATACCATGATTTTTGAACCCATGACCTTGACCTTGAAGTTTGACCTACTTTTCAAAAAATTTAACATTATTTTAAATGATCATTTTGAAAGAGAAAAGATAGGGCGTTCATATTATACATGTATATTACCTGTGACAAGACCTTTCTAAATATATCATGACTTTTGACTCTGTGACATTGACGTTGAAGTTTAACCTACTTTTCAAAAATGTTATATTTCCTTATAACTTTTGATTGAGAAGAGATAGGACTTTTATATTTGACATGTACATTACCTGTAACAAGATGTTTTCAAGCATGCTATGATTTTTTTAACCCTTGACCTTGATGTTTTACCTAATTTTCAAAAATTTTAACTTTGGTGATTACTTTTGAATGACATATGATAAGGCCTGCATATTTGAAACAATATGTCATAAATAATGGCATCCCATCCACTAGGACACGGAAAGCAGGGGACCACAATTCTTTGAAATTGCTTGTTAGTCATTTTGATATGGAAACATCCTCATATAGTGTAGATTAAAGTTTTTTATGCCCTGCCATGAATATGGCCGAGGCATATAGTGTTTGTCATGTCCGACTTCAATAAAACGTCATATGCTGATACATACTGATGTAAGCTTTTCAACTGCATCAAAATTTTTGACCTTGACTTTTCCTTTGACCTTGACCTTACTTTTCTTAAATTAGTGTCTAGATCAGTTTTGAATAAACAATTCAAGATATATTTATCGAACTTCATATGCTGATATATACTGCTGAGAGATATCAATTGCATCAACTTTTTTGACCTTGACTTTTCCTTTGACCTTGACCTAACTTTTTTAAATTAGTGTTTATCTATGTTTTAAATAAACCATTTCTGATATTTTTATTGAACTTCTATGCTAATAGTAAATACATACTGATATAAGCTTTTCAACTGCATCAGCATTTTGACCTCAACCTTTCCTTTGACCTTGACCTCTCTTTTCTCAAATAAGTGTTAAGCTCAGTTTTAAATAAATCATTCAAGATATTTTTATCAAACCTAATATGCTGATATGTATTAGTGAGAGCTATTCAACTGCATCAAAAACTTTTCACCTTGCACTTTCCTGTGACCTTGACCTCCCTTCTCTTTAATTTGTATTTTGCTTAGTTTTAAAGAAACAATCTAAGATATTTTTATGTAAGCATTGCACTTATACATAATTTTGTGAGAATTTATCATCTATATCCATTTTTTTTTTAGATTTTAGTTTCAATTTTAAAGAAACTGTTCAAGATATTCTCATCAAACTTCATACACTCTTACAAATTTTCATGTTGCATTTTAGTAATATACATTCGGCGGGGCATTTAAGTCCTATGGACATATTTCTAGTTTTCAAATCATGACCGACAGGCCACAATAAGGGATCAAAGTTTTATAGAGATTTAAAAGGAAAAAAATCTCCAAAATTCTTCTTTTTAAGAACAACAAAAGCATGATTAATATGGAAACATTCCCAAGAAGTGTAGATTCAAGTTTGTACAAATCATGACCCCATGGGTTAGGGAGGGGCCATTTTTTTCCTGCCCCTATTTGCTATCCACATGGAAATGCAAATTTTAAAACCATTTTACACATCCACAGGACAAAATCAATCATCTTCCAAATGATCATGATTTAAGGCTAGTGCATAACATATAAGGGAAGTTCTGGGAACCAGGATGTTTAAACATGTTAAATATTTTTTTTAAAAAATTTGACCCCCATTTGACCCCCAGGGGGAAAATAAGAATTCCGAAACCTTACTGCACATCTATAGGACACCACCAACTATCTCCCAAAAGATGATTAGGCTACTGTGTAAAATGTAAGAGGAGTTCTGGGAACCAGGGGCTTTTTGCATAAAAAACGTCATTTTTCGACCCCTATTTGACCCCCAGGGTGAAAATGAGAATTCAGAAACCTTACTGCACATCTATAGGACACCACCAACTATCTCCCAAAAGATGATTAGGCTACTGTGTAAAATGTAAGAGGAGTTCTGGGAACCAGGGGCTTTTTGCATAAAAAACGTCATTTTTTGACCCCCATTTGACCCCCAGGGTGAAAATGAAAATTCCGAAACCTTACTGCACATATACAGGACACCACCAACCATCTCCCAAAAGATGATTAGGCTACTGTGTAAAATGTAAGAGGAGTTCAAGGAACCAGGGGCTTTTTGCATAAAAAACGTCATTTTTCGACCCCCATTTGACCCCCAGGGTGATAATGAAAATTCCGAAACTTTACTGCACATCTACATGACACCACAAAACATCTCCCAAAAGATGATTAGGCTACTGTGAAAAATGTAAGAGGAGTTCAGGGAACCAGGGGCTTTTTGCATAAAAAACGTCATTTTTCGACCCCCATTTGACCCCCAGGGTGAAAATGAAAATTCCGAAACCTTACTGCACATCAACATGACACCACCAACCATCTCCCAAAAGAGGATTAGGCTACTGTGTAGAATGTAAGAGGAGTTCAGGGAACCAGGGGCTTTTTGCATAAAAAACGTCATTTTTCGACCCCCATTTGACCCCCAGGGTGAAAATGAAAATTCCGAAACCTTACTGCACATCTGCAGGACACCACTAATCATCCCCCAAAAGATGATTAGGCTACTGTGTAAAATGTAAGAGGAGTTCAGGGAACCAGGGGCTTTTTGCATAAAAAACGTCATTTTTCGACCCCCATTTGACCCCCAGGGTGAAAATTAAAATTCCGAAACTTTACTGCACATCTACATGACACCACGAAACATCTCCCAAAAGATGATTAGGCTACTGTGTAAAATGTAAGAGGAGTTTGAGAAATAAGAGTGTGACAGACGGACGGACGGACGGACAGACATGAGTAACAACAATATACCCGAACTTTCTTTAGAAAGTGCGGGTATAACTAGATGGAATGCACCAACTTCAATGGAGAATTGGTGAGGAGGTGCAGATAAATAGCATTTTACTCCTTATTTTGAGGTTTTATTTACACATCTGTTACATGGTTTAGGTCAAGTTTTCATCATTAAATAAACAAATTTCCCCAATTTTCCCAAGTCTTTGGACAATATTTCTGGATTGAGCAAGGTTTAAATTTAATGAAACATTTATTTTTGCCTTGGTGCACGAGCAAAAACCTTTGGTGCACGGGGTGTGAAGTTAGGGAGGAATTACACAAAATAACTTAAACAAGTTATCATTTTATTGAAACTATTTTAGACATTGTTAGAGATATAACGTGTTTGAGTTACTAATGCTGGGAAGAGTAGGTCAGAAGCAAAGAGAGGTAACTCATTGTGACAAAAAAATAACTCATTTGAGTTATTTTTGACAATATAACTTGTTTGCATTATGCACCTGGCTGGTATATGTGTCCTGTGTTTAACTAAAATCAGATTATACATACTGCAAGAGGACTGGTATTTTCAAAAAAAAAATCAACTTATGGACAGCTAGACAGACAGACAGTCAGAAAATGGACAGTTTACCAGTGCATAAGCTCTTCTGATCTTTGACCAGTAGTCCAGTACATATGCAGTATAAAACCTTACCAAATTTTTTTGAATCCAGTAAATTCTGAGATCCGAGAACCTCTGCCAGAGGTGTGGGTTTAAAATTGGTGCCTCCACTTCCACCTGGGGCACCGCTATTCCCAGATTCACAGACCTTTTTCTTGCAACGACTAATTGCTTCATCATCTAGCCGGAAGAGTTTTCCACTACATACATCTTCAAATTCAGTTTTGTTCAGGATGAAATGAAGCTCGTATTTATGAAGGGTATTGTTTGAAGAGTGGGCTTTTTGAATGTTTGCTCCTGTTATATAATATTTCTAAAAAATGATAGTATGTTTATCATTATTAGTCACATGTATACATCTATAGACATGGTGGATGTGCTACTAGCTATTTGTATATGTATATACTATATATACATTTGAATGTATATTATTTATTAGGATTTACCCTAAGAGTTGAAATAACAAGGGACATTTAAAAAGTAGAAGGGCCGGGGTTTTGAGCTTCCTCAACTTACGGGGTTAAGAGAGAGTAACAGAGGTTACTACATTATAGGCGGGGAATTTCCCCGGCCTCCGGGTCTTACGGACAACCCTGTTTACAATAATTGTATACCGTATATACTCGCCTATAAGTCGGTTTTTTGGGAGTTAACTTTTGGTCCATAACTCTATGTCCGACTTATAGGCGAGTCACCAAAAGCTTGGTATTTTTCTAGACGACGAAATGTAGTATTTTTAACATAACTTCGACGATCATCGTTGAGAAATGTCTGGACGTATTATATTATTTATGTATTCTAAGATTATATATAAAGTACAAGTATTTACATGTTTTAATGATTTTATTTTGATCTTAAGTGTATATTATTTATTTGATTAATTATAAAAAAAAAATATTTCTTTAATCAACTTGTGACTCACTGTAAATCTATCGTTTGTCGGTAAAATTGAATTGCGAACCCGATATACCGGTAATACATTCAGCATTAATGTATAATTATATGTACCGTCTGCAATGTTTTTGACGACAGAAATAATATTCTTAAAAAATAATTCAGAATATTATTCTGGGGCTATTAAAACTCGATTGTTTATGAATGAATATTCCCATGTGTCGTACACGATTTTCTCGGGCGCGTGCCACTAAATAAACACGGTGTCAGGTAAGGGATACAGGTAATTAAGAGACAGTAATTGCTAATAAAAGATCAAACATAGCGTTATTATAAACAATAGATATGGCTTGGACATTGAGCACCTCCTAACTAAATATCATCAAAATGTTACTAGCCTCGTTACATAGTTCTTCACCATGCCAAAGAGACCGAGATCCGCCTATGATCGAGATCGGTGTATAAAATATACAAGACAAGGAATTTAAAGCTTAAGCAAAACAGTATAAAAAAGAAAACTAAAATGGTAGTGGTTTGGTTTGTGGAAAAATAAAAATATTAATTACCGATGTCATATCCTAACATATTATTTGAACACAGGTAAATACATTAGAGTATTGATATGAAATTTATAAGAGAAGACAAAAGAGAGATAAAATATCGGCGTAATTTCTCAAAATATTATTTGAAACACATGTTAAAACATTAGAGCATTGATTTGAAATTGTCCACCAATCCTGGCAAAAAGTTGTACCGACTTATAGGCGGGTGAATGGCAAATACCTCCAAAATAACCTCAAAAAGCACAACCGACTTATAGGCGGACCGACTTACAGGCGAGTATATACGGTAAACATCTTTCTGGATTTATGTAAAAGCAAGCATTGGATAATGAGCATTCATAAATTTTAAAGTTGTCAGGAAAATGTGACTTATTAATGTGTGCTTGCTTGTAGTTATTAATACCTCCAGTAGTTAAGAACATAAGTTGTTTAATTTAACACATATAATCAAAAGTTAATTTGCACAGTAACAATAAAGTACAATAAATGAAACTGAATAATTTACCCCATAATTTGTCAGATTTAATGCAATGCATTCTGCAATATCGTCATATGAAATTCCTGCGATTTTTCCAGATTCATCCTCCAATGTAACCCTGCATATTTTTCCAGTGCTGATAGGTTTCACTTTTTCCTTTCCATTGGTGAAGGAAACTTTGGCTTTTATCTTCCAGCTGGAAAATTTAGAATACATCATACATTATGTACATTCAATCACTTTATATAGAGTTCCCCAAAAAAATTTACCAACAATCATTGATAATGAGAGATGTACTAGTAGTAGATTTGTAGAACTTTGAACTAATGTTTATTTATGTATTTGAATTTATTTTGATTATCACTGATAGTGCCAATAAACATGCAAAAACAATTAAATGTTATTATTCCTAAAAATGATTTATCCAAATTGTATATTAAGGTATTAGAGATGTAATATGCAATTTGAATTTCCGGTAAAAATGATGACATTTACCCAGGTTTCTGAAATTGGCAGTTTTCAGAACACTACATGTACAAATTAAAATATTTCAAAAATTTTAATATATACAATTCTAAATCATACAAACTCTATTTTGAAAAAAAATTAAATAAAAAGATTTGTAAAATTTTCATAAAAGTTTAAAACAACTTTCAAATTTTGTCATGTCAAGGCACATCTTTTTTATTTAATTAAAACCAAGAGACATTTACTCTCTCTGAATCACCAAATGTCAATAGCATTATGGCTGACTATTAGCAATTCTGCATTATATTAGAGTTATCTTTCTTGCTATATATTAGGGCTGCGCAATAATATCAATATTCCCATATATTGCAATTCGTTAACAAAAAATATTGTATTGTGCAGGGCTCTACATTAACTTTTTGTCCTACTTGTCCATTCGGACAAGTGACCAAGACATTTACTTGTCCGAACTTCAACTTCACTTGTCCGAATTTTTTTCAATAAAGGTCTAATTCTGTCAACTTGAAAACCATTACATAAATTAAAGTCCATTTTATATGTGCTTGATTGATTTGTGTTGTTATTGATAAATACAACAAACACATAAAATAAAATTTTATCTAGACTTCCTGTCCTGACAACAACATAAATGTTCACAAGTGAATCTGTCAACATCAAACAGAATCCAAACGTCGTAAGATCCATGCCTTGAAGTAGTATGCAATTACTGAACATCGATCCCGATCAAGTATGAACACAATTACATAGCGATTTGATATCGGGATCGGAATTCTGGTTTATGTACTGCTTCTGTTTTTATTCGATAAACTTTCACCAGTCGTCTTTTTTATTATTTGGAGACTTCTTCACATGAAAGCACTTGTCCAATCGGACAAGTGCCCATCAATATTCACTTGTCCATAATTTTTTTTCACTGGTACCGGACAAGCGTTAATGTCGAGCCCTGTTGTGATACGTTTTTCAAATACTGAAGTGATATACCGGCAAAATACTTGTGCCTAAGATTTATGAAGTAAAATATGACATTTAAGATGTCAGAAATGTTTTCTATCGTTCCAAACAGTACCAAAAGGTAATTTAAAAGGTTTCTGTTGAATGGTTGTATTTCGTTACCAAACTATAGTGAAATTAACAAGAACTTTTTTCTTACAACGTATTTATTATATAATAGTTTTATACAATCTGCTTATAAATGGAGGTTAATAAAATGAGAAAAAAGCATTTTTACTGTTATTAAAAATATTACAATACATATATTGCAATACAGTTTAAAATATCGCAATATATTCATGCAATACAAAATTCCCAACCGATACCTAGGCCTACTATATATGGCTTTAGTTGGAAAGGCTATTAAACCCCTAGGGAATGACTATGTATTTATTATCATATTATGTTCAAAAGTCTGATATAATAGTATGATGTTGCTGAGAGAAAAAACTGACATCTATGATCATAAATATAAGTATTTTCTGTTTTTGATGTATGAAGAGACTGAAAAAACCTAAAAAAATAAATTCCAAAAAAAATTCAACATGTTCAAGATGAACCATCCTCACAACGGTCCTGAGTCAACACGTTGCCGTTGGTCCAACGTGAACATGTTGACTCAGGACCCCTGAGGTTGTGATAATGAAGATGAACATGAATGATTAAAAATAATAAATTGATAAATTGGGTATAAATGCTGTCCCGCAGAAAAAAAATGGAACTATCCCACTGATTTTTCTTACAGTCAGGTATCCGAGTAGCAATTAGGCATAGACAAGTACTAAGCCTATTCATGCTAGAAAATGAGCACAAAACGTATTAAGTATTGTTTATAATGTTTGAGCAAGGGGCAACGTTCAAACATGTTTTGCCCAATAAAATTCATGTAAAGCAAGAATATTTGCATAACATAATGCTGACCCAATGTATCAATTTTTTTTTTTAAAGTCAAATGATGAAGCATGCTCAGGTTTCACACATTTTCTTACTGCACAGAGGTACTGCTACAAAATGTAGAAGATTCAAAAATAGCAATTTTTACAGCTGTTGATTTTGTTGCTGATTTTTTAAAATAATGATGCTAATGAATCACATATTAATAAAAAATATAGATTAAAATTGTATTTGATTATAAGTACTTTTTATTTCTTGAAACAATTAATTCTTATATTTATACTTAATATAATACATTAGAGATTTTACAAGAAACTAAGCTATGTTTTTAGTATTTATTTCATTATATTTACATTTGCAAATGTTTTCTTTTATATAACACTATTAAAAGCAACGCGTATCTATATCCGTATAAACACAGGTTCCTCCCGTCATAAACTTTCTACGTAATTTCTCAGTGACATCATAAAGGGACGACGCAAAATCAATAGATCAAACTCGTGTAGGTGAGTTGAAAAAATAAAACATTTCACGCGTTAAAGGTTATAATCAAGCTAATATATAATATGAATAAGTCACAAATGTAAATATAAGTAATAAGGTATCATTTTAAAACATCTATCGGAATATAAATACAGGTTGGTACGAGATCATTTACCATAAAGCCCTTCGGGCTTTATGGAATTTGATCTCGTGATCAACCCGTATTTATATCCCGATAGATGTTTAAAAATGATACCTTATTTCTTAATTAGGTCTCCCAATTATTTTCAATTGTTATTAAAATAATTTTAACCCTTCACTTCATAATAACAGGGACCTATAGGTCCCTGGTAATAATTGATTTTTTTTCTATTTTTGTATATATCACTTATTCTGTAATATTGGAATGTTCTGAATATGAGTTGTAAAAGAAAAATGTTTTTAAAAAAACAGTGAAAGTACAGTCAGGCATTTATTACTAGATTGCCCTCTCTATGAACAATTTTATCATTGAGAATTTATACAGCGATTTTCACTTTCTTTGTATATCTTTTTTTAAACTATGAATATATCAAAATCTCTTTGAGTCTTTAATATTTCAAGTAGCAACACATTCAAAAACTTTAAATTATATACTTTTTTTTCTGGTTTACAATTTTAGGTGGAAAGGCCTAGCTGTATATCATGGTAGCCTATATATTTCCGTTGTAATTCTAGGCCTAACTAGTTAAAACTGATCCATGTTTTTACTTACTTGGTCAGGTTTGGGTTAAGCTTTGCAATTTGCTTCAGTGGAATATTGTGACACTTTGCCATGACCACATAATATTCTCAAAATTGCCTCATTTATATTTACATATTTAAATTACGATTTTGATTTCGGCGGGGAAGGCTTGTGTATAATTCGAAGCAATAGCGTATCCGGAAAGCGGTTGCTTGACGTTTCGTTCCTACAAATTTGGTCAACCAGATGCTACAAAACATACGAACGTGAGCCATACGAAATGTACATGTTTTAAATAAGTAAATGAGATACATGTTCTTATTCAGGATCGATGTATCGATTCTATTGTTGATTGATTTATTTGTTTTTCACATGTAGGTGTGTCTGAATACATTCATTAAAATAAAAATTTTTTTAAAAAAAATCGCTGAAATTAGCACGTGTTAAAAATATCATATGAGATCTACTGTATATAAATTATGATATTTTTAAAACGTGCTAATTTCAGCGATTTTTTGTTTTTATTTTAATGAATGTATTCAAAGACACTTAGAAAAAGAAATAATACACAAAATACACCAACCTGAAACCATGCAAGCGCCTATGGCCCTAATGCTAATGTTCTAACGCTCCTGATTTCATATAAGATTATATAATATCATGCCAAGAAAAGGAAGTTTTAGAGGGAACTCAATAAAAGCGGAATTAGCGTTAATCTGTGACAGTCAGGTGATTTTTTTTCCCTAGAGAGAAGTGCGCGAGGGTTTAATGTCGGCAGTTTTGAGGGAGGGATCTTACTGTTTTTTAAATAAATTAAAGCTATACTTATGCGCGGATCTAGAGGGAGTTCGGGAGGTGGGGGCCGGCCCCTTCCCCCCTGGAATTTGCAGAGTTACTATAAATGTAGGTAATAAACTAAATACAAGTGACCTTGGACCCCCCCCCCCCCCCGGAAAACGCGGATCTGTGTTAAGTTGGTATGAAAAAGTCATAGGTATAAGGCTTTAAAAGTCAACGACTAATCCCCCCCCCCTCCCATTCCCCCACGAAATAGGTTTTTTCACGGTTCGGTCGCAAAGGATGGAATTCCATATACGACAGCCAACTGCTTACTGCCAACTGTTCACTGCTTACTGCCACACATCTTTGAATAAATATCCATATTTATTTTGATATTTTTGTGAATTTTCATAAAACCAGGAGCGGATCCAGGATTTTTTTCCAGGAGGGGTCCACCCCAGTAAAAAAAATCCAACCCAGAAATTTCTTTACAAGAAAAAAAGTAAACTCCTTTCCAAAACGTGAAAAACCTATTTCGTGGTGGTGAGGGTGGCTTCTTATGCTTCATATCTTCATACATGTATCTATGACTCTTCATACCAACCTAACACGGATCCGCGTTTTCTAAGGGGGGGGGGGGGGTCCAAGGTCACTTTTAGTTGGTTTAGTACATGCATTAAATAACTACATATTCCAGGGGGGTCCGAACCTTCCCCTCTATATCCGCGCATGTAAAACATAATTTATTTGGGAAAACAAGAGAGATATAAGTCTTTAATTGGATGGAATATGTAGGCCGGAATCGAGTTTTACCGTGCGTAGTTCTGACAATAATAACAAAATTTGGCGGATTTAGGAATTTTCAAACTGTAATAAACGTAATTCGGAAGAAGGAGTATTTCCTCTTAAAAACAAACTTAATCTCTGCATTTCCAAATATATAGTTTGTTAGCTTTTTTGACGCGGGAAAAGGGGTGAGTGGGTTCACATACGACAAAAGAACAAACTTTTAGAAGGGTCTTGAGTAACATTTGTTGGAGAAATATATTACTGAAAATTATAAGAACATAACTTTTGCCTATAGTGTAAAAATAAATTAGCAATATTTTTCGGTGTTTCTTTTTACCCTAGGAAAAGTACCTCTATTTGGGAATTTTTATATGTGTCTTATGTAAATCGTTTTAATGGCTAATGTTAGATCTGTAAAAACATTCGTGGTGGTGGTGGTGGGGGTGGGAGAGGGGGCGTATACCCACTAAATTTCCAACAATAAATATACTATACAGTAGTGCTCCCTCAATAAAGACGCCTGTGACTTTTTTTTTATTTTTGTCAAGGGAATTATGTTGCCCCCCCCCCCCCCCCTCGCCCGCGCACTGAAATTGCTTTTACTTGACTGAGATCAACTGTTTTTACATAGCGTAAAAGGCCTTTATGATTTTTTATTAGTATTTCTGATATAAATGCATATACCAGCAAATATTACACAAGATGCTTCTAAAAGTTTGCCCCCCCCCAATTTTTTCTGGCGAATATATAAGCCTTTACTCCCCCCCCTACCCCGTCAAAAAGTCTATTGAAGTATTTGCCTGCAAGGAAATGTGGGAATTAGATGTTTTATATTTAAGAGGGAATACTCTTTCCTCCTATTTATTCCTTACTTGCCTTCACTGTTTAAAAATTAAATTTTTTTGTAATTGAGGCTCATAAACCCTCTGCTCACTCATATAAAATGTTTCTTTAACTCTTATGATTTTCCAAAAGAAATGTATTTTTTAAGTAAAAGACAAACAGAGTTTAGCATAGCTTGCGGGGCAAAACTGGACAAACAAGACACTTTATAAAGGAATAGACATTTATATCATTAAGAGTTGTCTCTCTTATCATAGTATCGATGAACCTTAATATTATTGTTATCTATCATGGGTTTATTCAATTAAGCATGCGTATTAAAGATAAACAAAACAGGCAATATCATCTATGAGCAGTGGCAGTTGGAAGTAAGCAGTGAGCAGTTGGCAGTAAGCAGTTGGCTGTCGTATATGGAATTCCATAGAAAGGAGTTAAGTTTAGTTTAGTTTTTTTTTTTTTTTTTTTTTTTTTTTTTTTTTTTTTTTGCTTGTCACTTGAGAAATTTTTTTGACTGAGGTGGACCCCCCCCCCCCCCCCCGGAAAAATTTTCTGGATCCGCGCCTGATACTTATTATTTAGATGCCTTTGCAACTTTTTTCCGGTTTTTTTTTGGGGGGGGGGTGTCCATGCATATCATATGCGGTTTTAAAAGTAAAATGAATTCTAAACAAAATTAATTAAATTAATTAAAGTAAACTAATAGTTCAGTAAAAATTATTTATTTATTTATTTGATTTATTTTTTTCAAATTTCCTTCCACGATTTTTTTTAAATTTTGTTACCTGTGCCTGGTGCATTTTACGTACTTTGTAAATAAATAAAGGTTTTTGACAGGAAATTTTTTATGGCATAGGAGGCTACTTCCTTGGGTAGAACATTGGGGCTTGTCTTCCGGATTGTTAAAATGTTAAATAAATTAATAAAATTTTAGATCTACTTTAAATACACTTAAAACTTGTTAAAACAAAGATTCTGACACTTTCATTCAAGAAAAACTACGTTTAAAAAAGACGTACCAAACCTATATCCATAAACTCTGAAATCTATCTAAAATACATATAAGACCCCATGAAATTTCAAATATATTGTTTAAGAATATGTTTAGATCAGAGATTTTTAAAAAATCAAAATTCACCCCCCTTCCCCCCAATAAACATTGAGCGATTATGATTGTATTCCCTCTCAGATACCCGTCTTGAACTACACGGTATTTATTCAGATTTTTTAAATTACATCTACATCAAGCTCCAGACAGCCCAGTATTACGTTACGCTAAAACTTCATATCATATTATTAATTATTATTATTTTTATATGCACCAGTGATAGAATTGTCACATATAAAATAAACTCTTTGATAAAATTAATTTTCTATGTAACACAAGGAAAAAAAGATTTTATAATGCATGATTCTTGTAGAAACGATTTATTATTTTATACGAGAGGTGTTACAACACAGTTTGAAAAATTACGCACTTTGATTTTTTTTAAGTGCGTTAAATTTGGGACCAAGTTAACGCACTTTGAAAAAAATATATTTCTTTTCAAAGTGCGATAATATCGACCATATTAACGCACTTTGAAAAAATAAATGTGCATGGCTTGGTCAATTCTTGCAAATTTGAGGTATGATGAATAATTATCTGAATCTGTTTGGATATATAACTTTTCGATGATGACGTCACTTCAGGATCTGAGATATAGACTTTTAAAAGATTTTTAGGGGTTGTCTTGTTCCTAAAGGTTCAAAGGTTTTCTCTCTCCCCCCCCCCCCCCCCAGTTGAATTTATTTTTTTTACATGTAAAAGAACACCTCTTATTTGTAAGAATTCGTCAGCTTTCGGGGGCTTCGTCCCCGGACCCCCAACAGGGCTTTGCCCTGGACCCACTGGGGGCTTCAAAGCATCCCCCAGCCCCCCTGCCTTCTAGTGCGCTCCCTCCCCAATTATGAAATTCCTGGTTCCGCCACTGTAGATCAATTCATCAGTTTTTCGAAAGAAATGTAACAAAATAATGCTATCTATTACTAAAATCTAAGTCCAGAGTTTTGTTTTATACGTACTTTTTCAAAGTGCGTTAAGTGTCTCCATGGTAAAAAATGTTGATCTACACTCTTAACGCACTTTGAAAAAAAAAAAATTCAAAGTGCTTTGATTTTGTCCCAAATTTAACGCACTTTGAAAAAAATTTTCAAAGTGCGTAATTTTTTCAAAGTGCGTTGCCACAGAAGAATTATCAAAAAGTTCCTGGACTAGCGTCGTAAAACTAAAACCGCTTCAGGTAAATGTATGAATTTTTATACATGAAATAAGCATCACCTTTTCTATCTATAGAATAAATTATAACGCATTAGTTTTATTCCTTTATAAAATGTGTATGTTTAAGTGAGCAATGGTATGACCAGGCGGCGCAACCTCAAAATACGACATATTTTTACTTGCGTCTAACAGAGAAAAATCTTTTGGTATGAGGATTTGTCGTCCAACAGTCACGCTAATTCACTCATATGGTATTTGTATTACAAAAAAATTAAATTTTTTACCTCATTCTTGAAGTTTTATGAAATCATATTGTAAATTTTTTATGGAATGTCCAAACAATTAAGGGGTTGAAATGACGTCAGAAGTCGGAAGAATTGTTTTTCCCCCACATTCTATAAAGTTTTACCTCTTGAAATACTAGCATAGACCTATGAAATGTTTGAACAGTCTACATAGAAATAAAATGCATCCAGAATAACTGTTTTTAAAATACTTTACATCATAATGTAGTAAAGCAATGCATTACCATTACTTTTTTTGTTTTTGTTTTGTTTTGTATTGTTTTTTTTTTTTTTTTTTTTTTTTTTTCAAAAAATAGAAAAACAATACTTGTGCAGCTATTTTAATAAACATACATTCCACCCCTTCAAAACATGATAAATGATAATTCAACTTTGATTTCAATGATTTATATCGCCGAAATATGGCTGAAATATTGCCGACTCGGCGTTCAACAATAATAATCAATATATCAATGATTTGTATAATACTATATGATAGGATATATCAAGATTAGTTGACATACATATATTGTGTAAATAATTTATTCAATGACGTTATGTGATACAAGATATTTCATCATATGTTCATATTTTATCATATGACACAAAATATACCAGAAATTGACCATCTTTTATCCTCTTCTATACCACACAACAGTGTGAACACATGTACATACGTAAGCTAGTTCAATTCTATGAAGCATATCTAATATATAGAGAGACCTAAACTAGCAGAATATACACCTTTAGAGATTTCTATTGTAGTATTTCAGACATATACTACTTTTTAGTGCATGTATTTTAAGCAGTTCATGTGCAATATTTTTTTTCATTATGGTTTTATACTTCACTTATGGATTCATTGGTTCATTTGTATAATCACTTAACGCTCCAAAGTCCAATTCCATTATGGCAATTTGTCCAGACGTAGACACTATTACAAGATTATCTTTTGAATTCATCAGCAATAGGAGAGGAACGAATTTTATTCCAGGGAATATGTCTCGAATTATTGTTCTTACCCTGCCTGAATCGGTATATAATAACTCTAACCTTTCCTCCACGTTGATCACTTAAAAAGCAGATTTTTCGACGGTAAAGACACTTACCGGGTAAAAATTCAGATGTATCTGAATCGGTTGTTTTATCATAAGTTTTTCTAATCACACTTGGAGTTTGCAAATTTATTAGAAAAACACAGTGGGCATCAAAATCTGAAACCAAAATCTCTGTTGCATTCTTTAGTGCAATAGACCAGGGGTTTTTAAAAAGAGGGTTTCTAATTGTATACTTTAAGGATCCGTTTGCTGCAATGAACACTTTTATAATACTTTTTTGGTCTGATACAAATACTTCCGTTGAAGAACAAGCAATACCAAGCGGATGATTTACGTCTTTGGAAAACAAGCCGTGGTAAATTCCCTCCGTTGTAAAGACATCTATTCTTGGTTTTTTCCTTGCATCTAAGATATTAAAATGTATACAAATATATTTACAAATTGCTAGTTAAGAATTAAATTGAATTTGTCATAATAAAATTACAATCAAGCCTATCTGTTCGATTAAACGGTCAAGTGGTCAAAAAAATTTACAAACAAGCTACACATTTTTTCCATATAGGCATCACTAATATAGAGGCAATCAATTTAATCTTTTAAACATTTTATCTTAAACATCTTTATTAATTATTTCTTTTAATGTAATAACTCCCTCTTGTAATGTAATGTCAAGCCTAACACTGCGATGATGTTTGAAAGCAAACATACTTTAAACGATATAATCTGCATTTCAAGGCTAATAGAGGCAAAAACATCGATCGTGGATTGATGTTTTTGTCTCTGTTAACACTTCTTTTTCACAAGATATAATGGAAAATTTTAAACGCTAAACTCTTGTTGTTTAAAATTAGTTTTCTAGGAATTCTCTTGCTTAGAAAAGATTCTTTTCAAAAATGGCGTACTTGGTTTCACAAAGGTTACGTAAACATGTGGAAAGCCAGATTCGTCAACTCCAGTTGCTGCATCCCACACATACTTTGCTTTTTCACGTTTTAAAACTTCACCGCTTTCTTTACATATCATCAACTCTCCTGCATTAAAGCTTGTTAATAGAATATTTCCATCAGGTAACATTGTGCCTCCTTTAAGAAAACCAGACGTAGATTACACCTAAGTATGCTTAGTAGTCTGATCATACGTTATAATTCATTCAGATAATGTTATGTAATTACAACAAGTTGCATGAAAGTATATATATATTTTTTATTTCAAAGTAAAAACCTAAATATAAATAAAATAAATATATACCGAAACTTCAAAAGCTAAATACATTCTCCAAAGACAAACAAAGGGACCATTTCCTGAAATGGAATAGTTCATTGTAATTTAAATATCAAGAATTTATCAGACAATTTGAACAAATGAGAGAGACTATTTAGTATTTAACCTATGCTACCTTCGAAATCATTTGATAGTGTTAGGGGTGTTGAATCGTCCTGACTCTCAATTCTTTTTACTGCTGTCTCCTCGTCATCACTAAAACCTATCAAAAACGTTAAAACAAGTAACAATTTGATAAGTTTGTATGACACGTAATTTTTCATCTTTACAAGTTAAATATTTATATTCTGTGTAAGTTGTTTTGAAACCTATTATTCTTTCAATTTGGCTTGTGGGTTCCTAGTTGCTTTATTTGTACTTTATTTTTATATTTAAAAATGCTACTCTTCCCCCTCTTCTCTAAATTTAAACCAAGTTATTACAATTAATTTTATACTTATTATTGGTTACAAACTTTTGTAAATCCGTGGTGGAAGAGGTGGTATTTCACTACCCTCAAGGCAAAAATCATAGGCATCTGCATAAACTATAAATTCATATGAAAAATTAACTTTGGAGAAGGACAGAGTTTTTTAAACATATTTTTTTTCAAAGTAATGGAAAGAACAATTGCCCTGTGCGTTGGTAAATAAGAAACTCAATGCGGTACTTAGATTTGATAAAGTTATACGAAATGCTATGTATTTGGACCTTATGTGTATTTACATTTAAAAGGCAGGTTAAATGCTCTTAAAAGAACATTTTGTAGATGTTTTATCTCGAATGATAAACATAAAGAGGACTGAAATTATTGTACTTTTTATATATGTAGAAATTATCTGTCAAGAAAATCACTTTTATAGAAAATTATATGTAGAAAATCTTAAATGTTTACCTAAGTCCATGGGTCCAGTATTCATTTCTTCAAACGTTTCTTTCGGTTCTACGAAAGTTAAATGCTGATAAATCAAGTTAAAAAAAAACAACAACAAACTTTTAAGTAACACTGTTCCTGCACGTTTTACAAAGCATCAAATGCAATGACTGACCATCGATATATAGATTTTGCATCATTTCATCATTATAGTTGTTTCGATGATTCTCAGTCTGCTCATGTTGAGTTACTACAATTTGATTATCTTCAATTAATATTGTCAATAAATGGCATAATTTGAGGATTTAACGGTAATTCCAAATTGATTCATGTTCTGATATTTCTTAATGACATAATTTGTTAAATTCTGGGCAATTCCATGAAGATTGATTTTTTTTCCTCTTTTTTCTTTTACTTTCGCCCCCCCCCTTACATCTGCAGCCAAGATATATCGATAATTCATAAATATTGTGACATGGACGAATTATTAAAAGTTTTCTTAAGAGAAGGAAGTAAAACCTGTCGAATAAAACACTAGAGAAATACAACAAATTATCAGAAGTAAAATTTAACATTATATTTGAATTTCCTAAAAATAATCATAATATTCTTGCATGCTTTACTTATACAGGGTGTTTCATAATATATGTTACATTTTTAAATCTAATTATTTTTCTTACCTATCATATTTCTATTACAAACTATATATCATTTTTTACATCAAATCCTGCATTTTTATTTCATGTGAAAAAGTCAAGGAAATTATGGTAATGCAATGATTAATTGTGACATAAACGCCGATGTCATAATTTGAATATTTTTCGAAATGGACTTAACTTACCAACATATTGCTGAATTGCAAAGCTATTGTTTTTTTTTAATACATGTCACCAATATTCATTCAGAAGTTGATTAAGGAAATATTCCAAAAGAATGGAAGCTCTTTAGGATGCTTATCAGAAGGCTAGACAAGGTTAAAGGACAGGGACGGGTAATATGGGATAAATGACACAATAACTCCAGAAAGCCTAAGGACTTCAAGAACCGAAGATTTAATTGGTGAAGTGGAGACTCTTAGATAGTTTAGCAAACTCCTGAGAAAACTGTCAGACGGATGTTTTCAGAAATTGATGCTGTCAATATCAGCATTTCCATCATATATTGAACTTTGAAATATGATATGAAGTTATCAGCGTACAAATTTTCAATAATGCAACACCCCAAGAAAAGAGTTTGCTCTCTGCATTCGCCAATCTCAATCTTTGGGCTTTTTTCGGGGGGGGGGGTGTCTTTAGGAACAGGGTCTACAATCCTAGACAACAGATACTGAATGAGCTCAAAAGAAACAAACCTTCAAATGAGGAGTGTCTAAGCAAAAATTTGTGACAAGGTTATACAAATTTCGAGAAGCAACTTTCATTTGTAGGTGTTATAGTGGAGGTCATTAAGAACATGTAACGTGGACTTTTGACGTTTTGAAATTCAACGCTACAAAAATGACGTAATTTAGAAATTTCACTAATTTTCATTAATGTTTGAGATTTTGTCCAGTTTTTAATATTTTAGTTGGTAATTGTACATAATGAATCTTATGGATATACGCATGAAGTTGATAAAAACACTTGTGTGTATCTTTTTCTTGTGTTTGTTAAATAGAAGATTCAAAATGTAACACATATTATGAAACACCCTGTAACACATAACTGGCATGAACATGTCTGATAATCTTTCAATCAAGAAAAAGAATTTTTTAATACCTGTATCCGTATATTCTTCATCATGGAAGTATGTAAAACTATCTGTAAAGTGTAAGATCTTCATTAAAAAATGCACTGTTTAAATATAGAAAAATTTACTATTTTGTACGATAAAGATAATTCTACTGGACTTTTAACTGATAAAGTTTTACCTGCAGAAACAAGGAATTAAGGTATATATACACACATATATATGTGAAATGTTAAAGGGGGGGGGGGGCTGACTACATCGGTAGGCACTAGCATTGATACAAAATTGCTTGTTGATTACATATTGCTTCAGAATTCTATAAGAGCAAGACACCTTTTGCCATGAAAATGAGATTAAAACAGCTTACTCTGGTGAGTACGGAAGCGTAAAGGTCTCTACACTTGTTGTGTGATAACGTGTATATTGTCTTATATTTTATTGTCTTGTCAACATATTATTAACTCCTTATTTATGCACATACGAGGGGTGATCAAAAAGTTCGCGAACTATCTCTATATTTACAAAACCACAATTCAAATCAGAATGAAATTTGGCACACATATAGTCATACACATGTTCTATAAATAACATATGTTAAATAATGTTTTGCTCCGTGTTTGTGACGTCACAATGTGAAAATGACGTCAATATGTAGGTCACTTGTGACAAAAAATGGTTGACTCATTCGTACTCGAGCAACGAACGGCTGTAAAGTTTAACGCATATCTTGGAAATTCCTTTGCAGTAGAATATGATAATTTGTACAAGGTTTATGAAGACAAAAGACTTACCAGAAGTTCAATCATTAATTGGATTGATTGTTTAAGTAAAGACAGGGAGACGGTTAAAAATGATGTTTGTTCTGTTGCTCAGCGAAAGCAAGCCGGGGAAAAGATGTGTCCTTAGTTGAGCAATTTGTTATGAAACATCGTTAAGTAACAATTAGAAAAATGGTTGTATATCTTAACAATAACATAATTATTAAATCTCTAAAATATCGTTTACTTTAGACTTTAAACATATGAATTATGATAAAAAGAAGGCGCCCATACTTTATCCACATTGGAAAAACGACTCTCCCGTGACAGAGGACTCGGGTTGTGATGGGTCACCATACTAACTGTGGGAAGGGATATCCTTATCCACCCATCCTATTGCCGAGATTTGGCCATTTCTGACAGATGGACTGTTTTTGTTATAAAAAATAACTTGCATGGTAAGAAATATAAGACTCGGAAAGATCTTTGATTTTTGGCATTTTGAGATGTCCCCTCTGGAAACCAGAATTTTGTGTTTCTTGCTTAAGATGTACAATATAGTACTACCCATCAGATAATATAATTTGAGCAAAAAGTGTAGAGTAACATTTGTATAATTTGCTTCGAAGTGCGAAAAAATGGTATTTTCCTATATAATTCTATAGTAAATGTACCTGAATTTTGAAATGGTCCCTAAAAAATAACCAGACGGTAGATGTTCACTAAACTTGGCATGTATACTGAAGTCAATGTAAGGTATATATGGTATAAAATTAAAGAGTTTCTATATAGCAGTTTTCACACAATAAAACCCCAGTTGGCCCCTTAATTGATTTTTTTGCTATAAGTATTATCGACTTAAAAAAAATTGATTTTAAGATATTGACTAAAGCAAGCTATTTAATCATCGATAAAGTAAATTCGATTTGTAAAAATAAATAAAGATATATATCGATATAAATATATGAATATTTCCAAGAGAGAAGTGAGAAAATATTGTTATTGAATTAACTTCGCGGGGCCGGGAATTCTAATGAATCATCACTTCACTCGGGATTCAGTGAAAGCTCCTGTACCTTTAATTTGCTATCGTACACGATTATAGACTGATACAGGTTCGTTAATGTATTGAAAAAGGGGGATGGAGAGGCATTATTAGTTAAGTCACAGACATAGTCATAGGGGGCTACTGTCCCTATCTTTTGAAGAGTGGAAGAGAAAAGAGTATCTGTGCCCCTCCTCCATTTTTTTTTTACGCGAGTATAGTATAGATCCGCTAACATATCCAAAAAATAAAGAAGAATACTCGTAGTTAGATAATTAAATCTCTTTTTTCCCTTTTATTTGGCTGACCCCCACTCTTTCCCCCTTTTAACATTGTGACTAAGTTCATACAGATTGGCTGAAATGAAGCACATTAATATTTTTTTAGATCATTCTAAGTAATAAGATGTAATATCTGATGTGCTGATAGTTAAACATTTTAAATCATATATATTCATCATGATTCACTGCTTATATTTTTTGAGTTCGAGAGACGGGAAGGAGGTCAAAACTATGGATGTTTACGACTATGTGGCAGATCCTACGTTTACCACAGGGTGTTAAAACATCAAACATTTACAAAGTACATACAATGTAGCCAGTGTCACCTTTATAATATTGCTACTTTTGATTCTACCACTAATAGAACTAATACTTAATGTTCTCATGAATGGAACATTAAAATAACGAAGGGAAAGGGGGTGGGGGGTCAGCTGTAGGGCTGTATCAATATATCGATACGTATTGATATTTAAGAATGTATCGTATCGAAAAAATAACTTTCAATACGTATCGGGCATTCAGATTTTCTCATAATTCTGTGGAAAAATTGGGAATTTCAATCACCAAAGGCTATATTTTCACTGTTTTGAGTTAAAATGGATCAAATAATGGTATAATCATTAAATAGATAGCACGTCTTAAATAAATATTACAAAATACATAGACAACCTTATTTTAACATGTCGTTTTTACAGTCATAGAAAGTTTGAATTTGAAGTGTAATTTGTAGACATAGTGAGACCTGACCTTCGAAATGGGTTAAAAACACTTAGTTTTTAAAAAATTCATACTTTAAATGATTTCTATGACTTTTTTGATAAACTTGTTTAAGAATCCAATATATCGGATATTGTATTATAAAATATTGCATCGTATCGTATCGATTTTATTTTGCTCCATACACAACCCTAATCAGCTGTTGTTCTTTACTTACGTCATAGCAATTTCTATCATTCATACATTGCAAGCACTTAATTTTTATTTCAAAGTGAGATTGATGAACTTTATTAATAAAAAAAAAAATATAAAATTATCACTAAACTTGTATACATATTTCTACTTTATTAGAATGGGTTTTTTTTTTTGGTTTGTTTGTTGTTGCGCTTAGGGCCATTGAGCAGTGAGAGATCTTTTTCGTGCCAGCATCTACTCCGACACGGGACCTCGGTTTATACGATCTCATCCGAAGGGTCGGTCTCCACGTCCCGCAGCGGATTCGAACCCGCGACGTAAGGATCAGCTCCTTACTCCGCGACTCTAGAGAAGACGCTCTAATCAATGCACCACGGGGGCGACTCTTTATTAGAATGCTGTAAATTTATATTTGCTCCAGTGGGGAACAGTCTATGCCCCTCTTGTCCCCTTCTTCTAAAAGTTTTTCTCTATAGTCACACAACTAATATCTGACACTTTACACTGGTACATGGTGCATGTGCCGTCAATTAATCTGCGTGATATGACGTTTCATTAGAATTCCCGCGCCCTTGGAGAACAATATTTTCAAATTTCCCCTTAGAAATACTAGCATATTTATATCAGTTTAACAATTATGCATATTTTTTTTGTGTCGAACTAACTACATCGATATATTTAATTCTCATGCTTAAATCAAAATTTTTCAAATCAATATTTTTTTAAGTCGATATAACTTTTAGCAATATTTATCATACAGAAAAGACGCTTTAAATTATGTGAAAGTACCCAGATACAATACAACATATAATTATATGAAAATAAGAAGTCTTAACCTTTACGCTTCCGTAGGTGAAGTACCATGTTTAGTAACATTTACAGTGTTAAGCGCTTTGACAAAAATATAGGCAATTTTTTAAAATGTCTTACATAAAAAGTAATGCGCCTCATTTGTACAAACATAAAATATCATAACAATTTTTTTTTATACTTACCATATATTTTGTGATATGTTTCTTACACTTAATTATAGCTTATAAAAGGAATGGTTCAGAAGCCAAAAGAGTTTTTGAGTAGATCACAGATGTCCGAGATAATACCATAGAGCTCTTCAAAAGATTAAATGGTCTATTGTCAAATGTGTAGAGTTTTTTTCATTTGAATTTACATTTTTAAATGAGATTAATGCCCAGGTATGTCGGCCACACATAAATTTGAATATCATTTCCCCATTTGTATTTCCTGGTAGTATGGGCTCCGTATATGGTAACATTGTCATCTTGAATAAAGTTCTTTTTTTTTACCAACACCTCTAACACTAGAGAGATTTCTTTAACATATTTTCTGCATTTTTCTACTATTTCAAATACAAAAAGTTCCATCTTCATAGCATATAATATACATGTAACTACACATCATAAATTCTATTCGGGGGACACCTGCATAAAGGGGAATGTACGATTCTATGGATGTCCTCCACAAACATACTCGACGATTTTTACCAAAAACTATCTAAATTTCATCAGTGAAGATATCAGTGTTCCGTTGGTTATCAATAGTGTGTTTCGTTATTTTAAATTTAGCTTACAGTACATCCTTTTCTTTTGACATGGATTGCTGCCAACTCTTTATTCTTACCATACGTCTTTTCAGATATTTTTGCATTTGGATGTATGTGATTGTTGATGTCCTGTTTGCATCAGAATTATTAATTATGTAATTCAAAACAAGTCCACATGTCTAATACACCACTTTCTTGGAAAACATGACTGTGAAAATTTCAATGGTTAAATTGATCTGTATCGAAAGTTTTTCCACTTTTTCGAACTCGGCGCATAGTGTAAATTCGCCGTTATGTAAAAATCGCGAATACTTTTGTCACAGCGAATTTACACTATGACGTACCACGTAATGTATATATATAAATATAATTTCAAAAACAAAATGAAGAACCGTATATTTTGTTGGGTGTATTAAAAATAAAAATTCAAAAAAAAAAAAATAAATAAATAAATAAATAAATCTCAAGCTTTTGCTTTTGGACGTTACCAGGTAACCTACCTGACATTTGTATAACTGCCTGAAGAGCCTAACATGGCGAAAGCACTTGCAGAAATTATTTTGTGATTTTTTTTTTTGAGATATATATATATATATATATATATATATATATATATATATATATATATATATATATATATATATATATATATCCAATTAATGCTTTCGTAATGAATATATTCACAATTTTTTTTAAGAACAGTACTAAATAGTAATCAAAGTTCGTTCTTATGAAAATCTAAAAACTTATTATTCATTGGGATTCTTATTCTGAAGAGCCTACAAACACTTTTTTATAATTAATATAATGAATACTGTAATGAATACTATAATGAATACCTGTAGAATCACCAGAAATAAAATTGTTGTCAATGGCTCTAATTTTGTGCATAACTGTATAATCTGAAATTACATTCAAAATTAATAGAACATTAAACAAGTTGAGAGAATATATCTGAACACAGATATTCATAATCAGTAGATTAGTATCAGTAGATTCAGATTAATCAGTAGATTAAATCAAATTAATCACTAAGACCATCTTTAAAAAGTTATAATTATCATTAATTAAAACAACGAAGTGAAAGTTACCCTCATGTACACTTTCATCTATATTGTCTTGTATTTTCTGTCCATTTTCTTGATATTCATATTCATCTGCATATGAAATTTATGTCATTGAAAGAATTCAAAGACATACTTTAATTCTATATTAATTATCATGGTATAGTAATGTATATTTTTCTTTTATTAAAAGATAACGTTAGATAATTATTACACTTGCAATAGTTTTTTTTTTTTTCGAGATGTCGAAAAATCCATTTATAGAATTCAAATGTTAAACTTTTTTTTTTCCAGACTCCAAATCGATATACATACAATTGTTTAATTAGAAAAACGAAGTTGTTATTTGAAAAGCAATACCTGATTAACAATTTTGGAGTCTTTTTTTACTTTTTAATTTCAAAAATGCTTTATCCAGATTATGTATAGTTTCTTTATATTCTGAATAATGAATAATAATAATAAAAAAAATGAATTTCATATTTGTAAGATTCAAAAGAAAAACAGAACTTAATTTTTTTTTTTCAAATTGTAAAAGGGATATGTTAACAAAACATGTATATATTACTGTCTGATGCATTTCCTATGTCTGGAAATGTCATTTCTGACTTGTTGGTGGCATTTTCTTGCTCCCCAGTTACATATTTGTCATCTGAAAATGAAATATACTTTTTGAAGGGGATGAAAATCAAGACGTGTTAGTATAACATAAGAATTTTTACTTATATATATATCTACTGATATATGTCTTTTACTTATGACCTTACCTCAGGTTTTAAATTAAAAAAAATATACGTTAACTAGTTTAAAATGGTTTAGTCCTTCATATAATGTATTTTTTCCACGAGGAAAAAATTACATTTATAACTTTTTGATGATTCTAAATCAGTAAATCTTACTTAAAGTACCATTTAAGGTTATGCATTCATATAGTTTATGTTGTATATTGTCTTACTTGCAATTTTGTCAATCTCTTCCACTGTCAACTCTTTTTCTGCTTGGAGAAAACATAATGAAAATGCAATGTGTTTTAAAGTTTTTAAAAACTTAATTTGGTAATCTACAGAATGAAGGAAGTATTATTTCGAAATGCATTGTTGTCCTCTATTGTATTATTCAGGTATTATGTCCACGACCAGACTATTATGTATATATTTACTATCAAAATTTATTTTGATCATATTTATAATATTAAAATGGATAATGTCTGCTGTATTTAACAATTTGAATTGGTATCATACATGTAACTATAAATAAAAATGATGCTGAATTACAAATTATTCGTAACATCGGAGAATTACAGATCATAAAGGACTGAAAGATTATCTTTCCAAAACTTTTTAAGTCCAGATACATGAAATAATGTAAGAGTATTTTAACAAAACAACGGAAGCCTTATGCTTCGATGTCAAAAAGACTTTTATGGAATGTGATATTGACACAAAATTCCTTCTCATAATTTTTTGATATTCGTAGTAAAAGCTACCAAAACCGTAAATTCAAAAGAATTAAAATATTTATCTTATATCAGTAAGTATCCTATTTTAAGATTTCCTTTAATGCGAGTGAAAAAGGAGAGAAAGAAAGAAGGATCTTTGCATAGATATTTGGCGTTTCATCCCTCTTTCTTAATCCAATTTATGTATACATACATATGTACTGGATGTCAATGGATGAATCACCAACATGCGTGAAAAGATAAGTGGGTCATGTCAGTTGACGTGAATTCATGAAAAGTGTTCTTTAGATATAAAATTAATGTTTTCAAAGATATATTTGCATGGGCAGTGCCTATATGTTATGATATAAATTAATTAAACTACTGTATAATTCCTTATTTCCATTCGGTCAAATTATCGTGATTCAAGGAAAAAATATTGATTTCGTAGTTTAAGAAGTGTTTAATTGTTTTTTTTTTTAAGGATTAGCAAAATTCGTGGAAGGACATGAATTCATGGACCTCTTCGTACATCGGAAACACTGAAAATTAACCCCCAAGAAAATAGTTGATTTCACGGTCATTTAACAGAATGAAATATTTGTATATTTTCCATTAACATACCTCGAAACATTCCGTACAGATCGTAATATGCCTTAGCCTCAATGATTTTTCCAAAAATTTTAAAATCCTGCCTCGGTTTCACAAAACGAAATGCAAATTTTTCTGGAAGATAAATATCATCTTTTTCGTTTTCCCTCAGTTTTTCATAATTTTCAATAATTAAATCCCACGTGCTCAATGTCGATTTGTTATTTCCAGCTGCGTATAATCGATTTAAATTATAAAGGAATCGTTCTGCAAAGACGCTCTGATCATCAAGAGATTTCAGGTGAGTTATGACATCATTTTGTATCCTAGTCGATTTCCTTCTAAGATCATCACTGATTTCTTCCCGGTGTTCTGTTAATTTCTGTATCCATCCAGTGTAATAATCTGAAATCTCGCGTAGAGCTTTTTCTTCTCCTGTCTGGAGCATAATCATGAATCCATTAAGGTCTCCCTTGAATTTTTCCAAAACATCTTTACGTTTAACGATTCCTTCTCTCATTGCTTTAGTTCCGCTCTTTATTGTTTGTAAAGTAATAACTTCATGCCCAGAGTGACTGCGCTCGCACTCCTTACAGAAAGGAATGCTACATGCTTTGCACAACTGATCTACTTCACTTTGTGAATGAAGAGAACACGTGCTTGTAGTGATATCTGTAATTATTTTCAAAATGGGATCAGATTTATCAGTTTCATTCTCATCTAGTGAAATTAAAATATGGGTCCTAAGAAACTTTGTATGTGCTTTCATACAAATTTCACACAGATCACAGGGGCATGTGGAGCAGCTAAATATAGCACGTCGTGTCACGTTTTCATCCTGGCACATTGCATTGCAATATTTTAATGTCTGTCTTTTCTCTTTTTTCTCCCTTTTGACCTTTTCAATTTCATCCAACATAGCTTGAGCATATGGACATGTTGGCAAATCTGATGCTCCGGCAAAATCCAAAACAAAGGGTCGCCGACAAATTGGACACCTGGCTTCATTCCCGTTCTGTGTCTGTCTGTGATGTTCACCAATGCATTCAGCACAAAAGTGATGAAAACAAGACAAAATCTTTGGATTCTTCAGTATATCGTGACAAATTGAACATTTTATCAAAGATGAACAATTTGGAAGCGGAACGGATAAATCTCCTATAAAAGATAAATATACTGTTGATTTTTTTTTTTTGTAGATTTTTTTTGTAGATAGAATGCACAGTGGCGCCGCGGTAATCCGGACGCTTCTCCTTCCGGACGATATTTTTTGGGAACCGATTTTTCCCACTTTATTCTGTTTCATTAAGCCAGAAATTTGCGTTCCGGATCCGGACGGTTAATTTCTACAAAACTTAATCTTTCATTGAAAAATGACTCGTTTATCCAGATTATTATTTTTCAAGGAACGACTTTTTCATACCTCTTGCAGAAGTGATAATTTTTCTAAAAACATTGGCCTTGAAGTCAGTTTGAAGGCGGTTAACTGTGACCTACAAACAAAGCGGCTATAATCAGCGTATGTTTGCCCCAAATAAAAAAACGTCTATTATATTACGAAGCTCAAAGAATGTAGATTTAGCTCATACTGTGCATTAATTGAAAATAAATTCGTTCAGAATAAAATAAACTGCTAACGGTATTTAAATTTTTGAGAATAACGGAGAGTTGTAAATAAAATGAACAATAAATCACGTGATTTCGTTGTGGTCTTGAGGTGCGTAAAATACGTTTTCCATTTCGCCGAACGTTCATATATTTCAACGGTAAAGGGCGTTTTTTTTTATAAGACAATTTATAAGGATACATAATTCAAGAAAATATATTCTCTATTTAATGCACTACAGTCTATAGACGAGTATTACTTTAGAAAAGAAATACGTAAGTGGCGTTAATTTTAAATTCCGATCACGTTTTTCAAGGTATATAACTCAGAGTCTGTAGAAAAAAAAAGATAATCCTGAATATGACTTGTGTTTACGTTGAACGTTTACAATACTTTTACTGATTACGCATGTTTGCGTTAGCTTCCCTAACAATTAAAAAATACTATAGATAACTATAGTTAACTATAGCGATAACTTTGACACTATGAAAACTTTGATCTTTTATAGTGATAACTTTGACACTTTGATTTACTATAGTGATAACTTTGACACTTTGATTTAATATAGTGATCAGTTTGAAAACTTTGATTCACTATAGTGATCACTATGACACTCTAGAGATCACTTTGAAAACTTTGATTTACTGTAGTAATAACTTTGACACTTTGACCTACTATAGTTAACTATAGTAAACTATAGTTAACTATTGTATTTTTGTAAGGGTTGCTGTGTTCAGTTACTAACGGTCCAATGTAGTGAATATATGCGGTTGGTTATTTGAACATTTTCAATGGTGATAATGAACAGTTCTGTCATGTAAAATAAGAAATGTGCCAAAATAAAACAGTAGCAGATCAAAATTTGGTCAGCCCATGTAATCACACGTCAAATAAAAGAAGTTTGTCAAATTGAGAAGTTTGTCGTATCCTATTTGAAGCTAAAGATTAGATTGTTTCGTTCATGACAAGCTAATTTTCACGAGTTGTCTATTGTTTTTACATAACAAATATTTTCATCCATTTATTGATGCACTTTCTTCTCTTAGAAATAGAGCAACAAAAAATCGTTAAATTGTTCCTTTATAATAAAACGGTCAAAGTTGATATTTCTGGAATTGTAAAATATAAGGACACACTTTGACAAAATACTGTGACCGAGCCCAGCCAAGCCGCCACAAGGAAAGTTTTTAACGAACATTTTTCTTTATATAATAACATTTTTCTGTAATTTTACAATGTTATATATTCCAGTTTATCGTTTTTATTGTTTAAGAAACTGTTAAATAATACACATAAATAGAAATTCTTTCTTTTAAAAAATAAAACAATACTCACTAAAACTTGACATGCTTTGGCTTCATTAAAGGGTCTAGAAAAATTTGACATCAACGTCGATCTTTCTTTTCTGCATACTACAGTAGTTAACATGATATAAACATTCATTTGAATATCAAAGCCTTTTTAACGAAAGAGGAAGAAGAAAACCCGTCACGTGTGGCAATTTTATACTACCAAAAGAAAAAAAAAACCCTGTGAAACACGTTTTCTTCCTTTTCTCTACATATATATCAATATTTCAGATTGTCCCAGAATATAAATCTTATCAAAACAAAATATTATTCACGTGAACTTTATCAAATTACTATTGTGGTTTAATGACAAATTTTAATGAAGCAAATGACTGGCAATATTCTTTTCGTTGTAGCTACATTGCTACTTTTTGCAGGTTAGTCTTTTGCTTTGTTATAATGTTTTGATACATTTTTTTCCTGAAAGGACAATAATACCGTTTTTATTAATTATTTTAAATGAAGTAAATTCCATGGATTCTCCTTACCATTTATTTTTTTTTTTAATGAAATATGGATTTTGTTCCCAAATTATTCAATTAACCAATTATTCTAATCATTTAATACAATGTATGATTTTATTGAAGCTCCTGCTGTGTCCCAAAACTTCAGTTTTATGATTGCAAAGGCAGATAAAGTTATATTTTATAACTACAGCGGGGACCAAAGTTTATCCTCTGCAATACTGAGAAATGCTTCTGAATTTTCAAGAATTGTGCAAATAGATGAGATACATTTTGTGTGCATCGGAAACAAAAACATTATTAGATTTTCCGTTATGGGTGACGAAATTGGAAGTCAAAACACAGTGTTTGACTTTGGAAATGTATCACAGGTAAGTTTCGTTAATTAAGATGATCCATATTTTTTAATGGATTTGGAAGAGTATTTGTTTTACATTTTAGATTGCTGTTGATCGTTTGCATAACAATGTATATTTCTATGAAGAAACATTTCATATGATTGGCGTTACTCCAACGATGTCAAACTCGCACAGCTTGCTATATCAGGTGATTGTTAGGGGTGTAGACGAGTTACAGAGCATGGTGGTGGATCCTAATAATAAGTAAGTTCCATTTTATAAACAGAATTCATTGACATTTACAAATTAGGAATGGTTCTTAATTTGCGAACTTTTCCTTCTTTTTTTAAACAGGATTAACGTATATTCATTTCTGTGAGATAAAGAATGCGTGAATATTTTATTCATTTTTTGATCATTTGAAAATTAAAACAAGTATTGAATGTCCCGGTTTCCAAGAAAAAAAAACTCTTTTATACATTTTGATTTTTTCTGTCCAAGATTAATTTGATAAAAGGAAACTACTTTGGCATATTTTTATTACGTGAAAGAATTACCAGGCGGAAATAAAAGATATTTTGGTCAGTTTCTGGAATCTCGGGACGTTTTTGTGTTCTTCCTTGAGGTGATTAATGTTTCCCCTTCTAAGGCCTTATCGGCAAAAATGTCAATTACTATACGTCAATTTTCGTAATTCAAGAGAATTTCAAGTACATCCGAGGAAGTTCTCTGTATTTATTTTCCTTCTAATAATAATCGTTTTATTTCGTTATTATTTGAATTAATGGTATTAACTCGACACTTTAAATACCCTTATAAATATTACCAGACTATAATGTCGTTATATTATCTGATAGTATTTTTAAGAGCATTATAAGTGTCAAATGCTCCTATGTTGTTAGTCTTTAAGATTTTATTTATCTTTAACACTTAAGAAATGATACATTTCCGAGACACGGAATAAATTTTCTTGAAAGGAAAATCCCATATTATTGAAAAGTGCAATGTACTTACTGATTCATTGCTTGTAGTTCGACACAATATGTTTAAATGTTAAAAATATATTACAGCATATTTTATCCTGTCTAAATTTTTAAATATATTTTACAGAAATTTAAAATCTCAGGGATCACTTGACCACATATATGACTGCCGTCATGAGAAAAGGGCCCTTATCTTTTGACGTCACAATGCTCAGAAAACGACGTCAAAGTCGTGGTATTGTAAACACGGAACTAATTTTTGTCGATTGCGTTTTGTGAACAAAAAATAAAATTGGATTTCTAGGTGTTACAAGAAAAAATTAAATCATATGAAATGCGGACATTTTTAATAAATAATATAATTACACACTAGTACATGCATTTATTAATTATTCTGTTTAGATATTTAATTGATATCACATAATTACGCTAAGTGCGACATTGAACTCACTGTTAATTACGACGATTTATAGCGATGTGTATAATTGATGCATGGCTTAAGTTTTCTGAGCAATTTGCAAATGCTTAAATTTGACTCATATTAAGTAGACTAAGTCTTAATATTAAATGGATGGTATTCTGCATACACGTATATTTTTTTTCAGAGAGAGAGGGAGAGCAATGCACGTACATGTATACACTTCTTAATTCTAAAAAACACCTAATGTAAAATGTACTTAGCCATTTTAATTGATCCATAGTTAATAATATCGATATGCGCAGTTAGACCAACTCACCAGCTCAGGGTGAAGCGTCGATATCCAAATGTGTTTGAGGGGGAGGGGAGGGGGTGGGACGCAGAACATTGAAAAGCAAAAAAAAAAATCTCCTAATAAAACAGCAATCGGTAAAAGTTCAATCTAAAAAAGAGAACCTATTTTTTTTTTTTGGGGGGGGGGGGGGGGATATAGTACTGGTATATGGTATTATGGGAGATTCGAACCTCCTACTACAGCAACGAATAAGAGAGAGAGGGGGAGGGGGGAAACGGCCCCAATATAGATGTTTCTTTGCTAAGTTAACAGCAAGAGAATATGCTAAGGGGGAAAACGGAAGAGGGGGATGTCACGGAAAATTTGCGAAAATAAATTATGATTAAGAAAACATTTTGAAATGATCAAATAAATACATAAAAAAGTAGTTTCTGATAAAAATGACTATTGTATAAATTTTCTTAGATTGTTTCGGTAAAAGCTGACTTGAAATTGAATTGCAATATATTTAGGATATAGATACCGCTGATGTGGACTTTTCAAAAGCAATATGATCAATGTTGAAGAAAATAACAATTACATCAACGGTGATATTAGGATTAAAAATATTTATGAAACAGAAGAAACAACAGATTAATCAATAGATAAGGCTGTAAGAAATTACAAACTTCTGATAAATTTTGATATGGCGACATCTTTTGAGAATAAATCACTGATAGGGGAATAAGAACTAGCAACAAGTGGTTATGGGTGTCAAATTCAAATGTTAAGAAAACTTTCAAAAACATCAACCACACCAGTCGTAAGACAACAAAGACAGTGAAGAAATCTATATTTTGATAAAGATGAAAAAAAAAAATAACACTGCTGATGTTTCGAGCGGAAAAACGGAGGTTCAGGCAAAACTCTGATAACCATAAAATATGTTAAAAAAGGCGTTTTTCTGACTGTTGCACAGGCACTTGACGTTTCTAACCTTTCTTTTCATAAATAATAAAATCTCCATACTGTAATAGTATAGAGAATTTTTTATATATGAAAAGAAAGGTTAAAAACGCCAAGTGCCTGTGGACCGTTGTATTCATGTACATCTGTATGTAATAAATTAGTCACGCATCGTGTTGAAATCTTGAACGTTGAGTCTCAGCTTTGATATCTCGATACCCCGGATATCTCGACATTTTTTGAAAGTTCCGTTGATGTAGGGATACCGAAGGAAAAATATTAAACAAGCACACACATCTTTTTGATTTTAAAGAAAAAAAAAGGTTTCTATTCCAGTCGTG